GTCACAATACCGAGCTCAATTTAGATTCAAATTTGTTTCTAACTCTTCAGATTAAGTGGGCATTTAAATGCTTATCAACAAAGAAATAGTGCTGTATGAGCATACACTCGACAGTGAGCGAATGAAGATTTTTTCCATGTATATAGTGATGAAATTGGTACAATGATTTATCTTTGGCTTACAATACAAATTGTTGTCTATTTTACTTTTGACAAAACGCTTTTTGTGTTTATTAGAGTGAAGTCGGAATAACGAGAAAACATGATAGAACGTAACAGAGCATTTTCAATAACTACTTCTCTTCAAATGACCCTTATTAAAACAAGAACACTAATAACCATCCTTTAAGTGAGAGAGAGAAAGAGAGAGACCATTTCATAGTCACAGTCGATGTGTGTGTCTTCCTCATGTCCTTGAATCTATTATCGATCAAGAGCAACCAAAACGGAAGTGGGCTGAGTTGTACGATCATTGTTTCACTCTGCCCTATTATTATAATGTTGAAAGGATGTTTTTTTTTTGGTTTTTTACTCCATCTAGATGGGGAAAAAACACTGATAATTGTAACAAAATTATAGACATGATTATTTTCCGTATATTATAAAATGTTCAAAAATGTAGGAAATGTAGCATCTTTACGTCGATCATTAACTTGGAAGATAAATAGGGTTGCTTTTATGTCCTTTTTCTATTTTTTTCTTCTTCTATTGAGAAAAGTCACAGTTTAAAAAAAATGATATCCTGATATAGTGGAAAAAAACATGGTAATTAGTAGTAGTAAAACGGTAAAATGTCTCAAAATAGTTAATTATGGTAATTAGAAGAAAAGTGCATCATTCTTTAACGATTTCAAAGTAAGCTTTCGGTTTCAATGGTATGGTTCATAACTATTTGTTTTTATGAACATGGATTAAATTTTTTAGCTCAATAAGTTGCTGGATGATAGAACGGTGGAATATATTATAGCAGTCGTAAAAAAGTGTAGCGTTACTTCGAACACGAACGAAGTTTCATCTACATTTATCGTAAAAAGAGTAGTGGGCTGTTTAGAGAAAGTATAAGCGATTCTAAAAACTTAAGTTCAACAGAGTGTCCTGAATAAGAAAAAAACATCCATATTTTTTTCAGAAAACTTTACAAGGAGTCTAAAATTGTTACCTTCAAATTTGAAGATGTACTCGAAATTTAGATTTTAGTCAGTGTCTCAATAGAGAAAATTCTAAAATATTAATGGTAAGGCGTTAATTTTTCACAAAAATTATGTCGTCGTATAAGTTCTGATGATTCTTAATATAACGCACTGAAAACGCTTTGTCAACGTCTATCAATGACCTCATTTTTGAAACAGCATGTAGGAAATCTAATACTCAAACTAAAAAAAGCTCCCGAAATTCAGCAGTCATCAGTTGAATTTGGAAAAATATCATGAATGTTTTCTGATCTCAAATTCAGCATCCAAAAATAGACTCATCATCACCGTCTCACCCATGAATAACAGTTTATTTTCAAAATTGAAAGCCGATCCAATTAGCATTCTTTCCAAACTTGCGACTAAAAATGTTGGACATAAACACTAATTCATAAGTTGTTAAATTTCAGAATTACTCTCAAGTCTCGACTTTCATAATGATATATCTCAGTATCCACAGGAGTTAACCTTGAAAAAGCTTGGGAAATCAAAAGTGATGGCTTTTAATACAAATGTTTTTCAAAAAGTCTTTTTTGAAATATGCTTAATCAAATATCGTTCATTGACTATGTAATTTCGGATTATTGCACTGCTTTTAGAGGGTCTTATACTAGGTAATTATCCATTCTAAAATTAATATCTAGACAAAACTTGTTTTCATTGATCCGAGTTCGAGACACTTGGTACTAACATCTCTAATTAATTCATGAAACAAGACTACTACAAGCAAGATATCAATGCTTTTGTACTATATTTGACTTATAGAACAAGAAATACGTAGATTTATATTTAAGAAAATGAAGAGCAAACAAAACTGAATTTCATGTTTATAAACATACAATACTAAACAGTTTTTAATGTGTATGCAACTAAATGTTTTCTAAATCGATTACGATTTAGATTCTATATATATTTTCTGTCACAAAATATGGAAGAATATATTTTTCTAAACGCTAAAGTTCTTCCATATAATCTATTGATGTAATCTAAAAAAATGTAAAAAAGTTTTTTGTTTTTTTATTTATTGTTCAACGATTCATTAGTTCATAGTCAAATAACTGTTATGTCTCTGTTTTTCTCTTATCTTATCATCGTGAATAATGAACATTTTTCCCTCGAGCAATTATTTTTTGTTTTTTTCTGTCAAGTACGTTCTAGTTAACACCTCATTAATGTTGTTATCATTTCTAAATCAAAATCACAAAACACACTTCTGATTCTTCTCTCTTCCTTTGAAATCATTTTTTTAGGGTGACAAAATAGAAAATAATGAGTATTTATAGTCACGTATAATAATAACAGTCAATGTTTGCGTATACATGTTCAGTTGGAAAAAACATGAATGCTATTTAATTTGTTGTTGCCATTGTTGTTGTTGTTTTTCTGTTTTTTTTTCCAATACTAAGTGATTGAAACTAAATTAACGATTGAAGAGATAAAAAGAAAAAAAGAAAAAGATTCGTGATGCAAAACAAGTAAATTTAATCTATGGTATAAAACTTTATTCTGTTAGAATACAAGCGGAAAAATATTTCGTTAGAATATTCTCAACAAAAACTATTAAAAAATACAAAATCAATTTTATACGAATAGAGATTCGAGCATATGAATTTAGCTTTCCAGTAAACTGCAAAACAAAATACCCATATATATATATGTATAGATTAATAAATAGATTGATAATGTTGAGATTAATTTATTCGTCTACCACCTTTTTATATCATGTTCGATTTTAAAACAAAAATTTTTTATCTCTCAATTTGAAGACATGTCATCCATTCATCTAGTTTCCATTGAAATATATATATATATATATGAGTGAAGTAAAATTAAAATTAAGGTAATATATCCGTGATATAAAACATCTAAAATGCATCATGATACATCAGTAAACGATAAATTTCATTTTTATTATCTATGATAAAACGTTACCAAACAAACAATATCTTTTAATTGTGTTAATTTCTCAGATGAGAAAAGAAAATGAAAAATATAAAATAGCGTATGATTTTATTTCCGATCCGTATAGTGCATTTTTTTTTTTCTTCTTATTTTTTTTCGTCTCAAAATATATTTTTCTTTAGTGATCGGTGTAATCGTCTTGTCTTCATTGAAGCGTATGTTTAAATCCCTGACATATTCGTCGTAATCTTTCTTCTGCTTGAATGATGTCATTATCAACATTTGAACATCGAAATGCAGATTGAAGTCTTGATCATAGTCTCTTTCTCTCTTCTTCTAGCGTGTTCTAGCGTGCTCTTGCATATAATGGAGGCTCAAAAAAATAGAGAAGAAGATTTCAATATTTGTGGAATTCGATCAAGCAAAAGTGTTTTTTTTTTTTCTTCTCCTTTTTCTTTCAATATATTGACGAATTATAACCGAAAATTGATCATGGACGATTTCCATTTTATTAAATCAACGGATGCATGTAGAGGGAGTTAAATTAGTAAATTCATTTGTGTAAGGGAGAAAAAAAAGTCATCTTCGTCGTTCTCCTCTCTTCTTTTGAGGAAACACTCGATTATAAAATGGGAATTGATTCGAAAAAGAAGAAAAAAAATAGATAGACGATCGATCTATTTGCATTTAACAAATTATTCCAATTGTACATTCATATTATAGAAAAATTTTACATATTTTCACATATGTAAGAATGTTCAAAGTCAAACAGCACCGTTTATCATATCAGTATGATAAAATGGAATAATATGAAAGTATCTTATTCCATATTTGAGAGAGCTTAATCTTTTACATCAACTATAGCATACTTATGAACGAGCACATGTAATTATATGAAGAAAATGTGATAGTTTTCCAGTTAAACTCACTAAAAAACATTATCTTCACGTTACTTATCTCGTATAAAATATTGTAAAATTTTGAAAATAAAAAAAATTACTTATAAATAAGGATGGAAAGGCGATGAAATAAGTGAAAAAAGCTTTTATATTTAAGTGATTTTAGTCAAATGGTAACGGGTTTGGATAGCCTCTTCTAAAAAAGTAATGCTTTTCTTGAATAATATACATCAAGTTGTAAGTCACATTTTCAGATATCTCCTGATATAAACTATAAGATATGAACTCTATCATTTTAAATTCGGTGTGATACCGAACTTAAAGCTTTTCATCATGTCGTCAAAAGCGACAAAAATCTTTTTAAACTGCTGGCTGACGAGTTTAGTAAACATTCTATGGATTTTCTCATCTACCCTCAATTATCCTTTGCATGCACAGAGATATATTATTTTACTTAAAAATATCATTTTTGTTTAATAAAAGAAGCTATCTGTTACCTAAGGTTTGATAAAGCAAATGTGCTTTGTAAATTAACATTGGAGGGAAAATAGGAGGTGAATATGGTGAGGAAAAAAAGTTACGTTCGTGAAAAATAGGAGCCATGTATTACGAATTACACGTTCTAAAAATAATTGTTTCTACACTACACTGTGTCGTCACATCGCCAACATCGGGAAAAAAATTATAAATCGTCTTTTGGATTAGTATGGTGTTGCTGTCCTCGCGCTTTAGTTCACTTTAATGTCAATCGAGAACTTTTGATTAGCGCTCATGTTTAGTTATATTTCAATCTCTACAGTTCAGCTGAAATGAATTCTAAACGTTTCTATGCTCTGAGACATTTTACGATAGTGTTAGATTGAACATATAACCACGATAGTATCGCAACGATCGATGTTGTTCAATATTTATTGTTTGTATTATTTTTTGATCATTTTTAGCTATGATTTAACATCAGTTTGGTTCGTAGAAGATTAAGAATTTTTATCTAGAATTACTGTGCATCCACTATGGATGTTCTGTCGATCATAAAGCGTAATGGTTCCTACTTGTGGGAATATGTTCAGGATATTATTGAAGAACCGAAACGACAACGTCGGTTGATCATGATTATTGTTTGTGTTGCATTGCTACTTGATAATATGTTGTACATGGTCATTGTAAGTATTCAAAATATATCTATCTACTTTCTAATGTAATTTCTAAATAATATGATTTTGTTTGAGAGGTACCGATTATACCAGATTATTTACGAAGTATTGGTGCGTGGACACCGCGTAGTAATGCGTCAAATTCATCAATAAATGTGAATGATGATGATGACAGCGAAGATGTTGCAGTTGGAACATTATTCGGTTCAAAAGCTATCGTTCAATTAATTGTTAATCCATTTAGTGGTGCATTTATAGATCGAATAGGATATGATATACCAATGTGTATCGGTTTAGTTGTCATATTTCTCTCAACGTCAACATTTGCTTTTGGCAAATCATATGGTCTTTTGTTTCTGGCACGTTCAATGCAAGGTGTTGGCTCGGCATTCGCTGATACAGCAGGTTTAGGTACGTTGTTTACCATTTTTTACAGTTATTGTACGTAATCGATGATCAATTTTATGTTCTTTTTTAGCAATGATTGCTGATCGTTATCAGGATGAATCGGGGCGTAGTAGAGCACTTGGAATTGCTCTAGCTTTCATTTCTTTTGGTAGTTTAGTGGCACCACCATTTGGAGGTAATTTTATTTAAACTTTATAAAGGCTTTTTTCAAACTAATTTCCATGGTAGGTATATTATATGAATTTTTTGGTAAACGTGTCCCATTCATTGTACTGGCCATGATTGCATTATTGGACGGTGCACTGCTATTTATTGTTATGCGTCCAACACGCCTTGCTGATGCATTTCATTATTCCCATCGCAATGCAATAAACAAGCCTAAAGGTACACCCATTTGGCGATTATTGGTCGATCCATACATAGCCGTATGTGCCGGAGCATTGGCAATGGCCAATGTTAGTCTAGCATTTTTAGAGCCAACAATTTCAATATGGATGCGTGATCAAATGCAATCAACCGAATGGCAAATGGGTTTAATATGGTTACCAGGTTTTATTCCACATGTATCGGGTGTTTATTTAACAGTAAAATTAAATGAACGTTATCCACAATATCAATGGTTATTAGCTGCTGTTGGTCTATCATTACAAGGCATCATGTGTATATTTATACCATTTTGTAAAGGTTTTGGTTCGTTGATGATTCCAATCTGTGGCATTTGTTTTGGTATTGCTCTAGTTGACACCGCTCTGTTGCCAACATTAGCTTATTTAGTCGATGTACGACATACATCAGTATATGGTAGTGTTTATGCCATTGCTGATATATCCTATTCACTTGCCTATGCCATGGGACCTATTGTTGCAGGAAGCATCGTTTATGCAACGAATTTTTTGACATTGAATATTCTGATATTTCTTAGTAATATTGCCTATGCACCCGTACTTTACATATTGAGAAATTTTTATCAGTATAAACCAATGGAAAATACCGAACTCAATAATTTCGCACATAATGAGGTAAATAATGTTGATTCAAAATATAGTACAACCTATCAGGGTTCATCGTATACAAATAATGATAACGTTGTCATCAATCCAAATCCGTCGCCATGGTTTGCAGGTAGTAGTGGTGGATCATCATCATCACAATTTCAAACACAATTTCCACAATTAAATGTAGGTCAACATGGAACCGTTCAGTATATTAAACAGACAAAAGGTTCTCATAGAGACACAGCGAATTTAATCGATCATATGGAAGAAGATCACTACTAGAATAAAAACATTTTACTGCTGATACAGGATTATGCCGGTGAAAGAAATATTGCGACCAAAGTTGTGAAGAATAGTCATTCTTGAGACTTATATTGTTTATAGAGAAATTTGTTAATGGAAAATGTTTCTAATCGTAGAAGTAGTACTTTGTCCCCTACCTTTTTGACTTCGTTAAAATTTGTTAGTACGTTGAAAGATTAGCAACCGAGAGTTAAACAGTTTTTTCATCCTACACTTTAGATCAGGAGTAAGAATTATTTAAGGTGCTGGCAATGCAGATTTCTTTTTGACATATTTATATATGGTTGGATAAAGTACATCGAACTGAGTAACAAACGGTGGTTTTTAGTAATTTTAAAAGTTTTTAAGGAAGAAAAATTTAAAAAAGTCGAAAGGCCTAAAATTTCGAAAAAATTCAAATGTTTTATTTTTTGCTCTTCTAACTTTTCAAAAGTGTTTTTTCCAGATCCAGTATTAAAAATAGAGTATGAGAATGTTGTTTGATCGATGTTGAAGTCAAAGGTCTATCCAGTATAGATATCTTGCACTTGCCCTGTAAAAAGTTTCATAAGCAATTTTGCAAACTTATCTGGTTTTTTTTTGTGAAGAAGAAAATGAATATACTTTCGAAATTTTTCGTTGATTTTCATCTTTTGGTGAAAATCTCAGTAATTTTTGAACTTGAAAATACAGGAAAAAATCAGATAGCTGCATAGGATTAAAAAAGGACACAATTCGAGTCAATTTTTGACGCTAACTCTAAATATGGACTCACAAACTCGCTAAGTTTGAAAAAATTGTTGATGAACTTTTTATAGGACGACTCAGCTCGATGTGCTCTATCCAACAATGTATAAATATCTCAAAAAGAATATCTGGTGAAATTTTGCTTTGTTAGCACCTTGGCTTATAGTTAAAACTTAGATTTAATCTTTAAGATAAAAAAATTTGTCTCATATTCATGAGTACAATAGTGTTGCCTTGTTTATCGATAATAAATAAATTGATTGCTGATCTTATTTTGGACAGTGATATCAGCCTTACTATTCATATTTTACTAACTAAAAATTAACTGTTATTTCATCATATTGCGATTCTAAATCATCCCAGTCTATAATGAGACTTTCCTCATCGATTATTATTCATTTGATCGGATAGTCTTCATTAGTTTAAATAATATTCATTCTTTAGAAATATTTTGTTTTTTTATTTTAAAAATTTTTCTAAAAACTTTGAATAGGAATTATCAGTTGTTGTTTTTTTAGACAAATTTTATTTATTTTTTCTGTATACGTGTCTGCGTGTAATCTTATTATCGTATTTTAGTTCTATGTTTTTCTTTTTAGTTGTTGATGTCGTGATTCTCTAATATTTAATCTCTTTGTGTTTTTTCTCTTCTTTTTCTCTCTTTTGTGTTGTATAGCGCAAGAGTCTATGCAGATCGTCGATATCGAATACATATCATTATCAAGTGTAAATTATTGTACATAGTTACTGGTTATATATTCATTATATTTAATGCTTTGAATTCATATTACTTTGTCTATGTGTATTAATCAAATATATAGATGTTTTTTTTCAAATTGGAATTACCTACTAATTAAAATACACTACAACTGTAATAACTATCTTTGTCTTTATTTTGATATAAAACAATCCACTCCTTGGAATTATTTAATTGTATAATGTAATTGGTAGCAGATCTATGCATGAAAAAGGTGTTGCAAAAATAACTATATCTAATTATCACCGTTGAGTCTTTACATTTTTAAGTTAAACAGTATTGGTCATCCTATCAATTTTTTTCCAGCAGTCTAGAGCATTAAGATTAAATACTAACGTTTGTTATTTTATTCGTTGATGAGAGTGAATTAACGGTGTTTTTGACATTTAATATTGAGTTTTCAACGAGAAATAGAAATTTCAGAGTTAAAAATGAAAAATATTTTTATTCTCTCTGAACAATAACGTTCAGGATAGTAGCCACGGAAGGGTAAAGTTGTATCGAAATAGCATAGATGTACTTTTTAATAATACATATAAATAGCATAGATGTAATACTTTTTAATTTCAGTGAATATGGCATGTTTTTCTATTTCCACGCAGATTTTATTTAATTTTTTTTTTCTACCAATGAACAGTGACATATTCAAGGGAGATCAGTGGAAAATTCGATCAAATATTGCATGCAACTTAATACAGACATGTTATTTCAATATACTGTAAACGGAGTTTCTTAAAACCTGTTTCCTTTGGTTGTAAAGACGAACGACTATTGGTAAAGAACCAAAAATAAAAAAGCATTTTTCTTTTTCTCATCGCCAACGAGTTATGAAATTCAATTATTAACGTCATTCTTATTGTGAAACGTTTAATAAGATTTTCTTTTTTGTCTCTTATTTAGCTTTTTATGTAAATAATCGATTTTTTGATTTTTCTCTACCAATTCCATTATCTGTTTTTCTTCTCTTGTCGATTATAGTTGATTTTGCGACGGTACAAATCTGAGTTATATTGGTCAATTGTAGATAGAAAAATGGAAACTTTAACATCACAGCTTCCAACACTTAACAAATATATCAAACGTATTAAGAGACAACAAACAGAAGATAAAGATTGTAACAAATGGGATGTTGAGGTAAGATTGTAACGAATATTATAAAAGTTAGTTCTCATAAGATATTTGTTTTATAAAATAATATACATCGTTTTTCACCAAACATTCTTTAATGTGATCAACTTTCAAACATTTTGTGATTGACAATAGCGATCTTTTAAGAAAAGGGAAATATACCTTATTCGTTTGAACAGCGAATAGAAAAATGAGTAGATTTGTGTGAATCAGAAATGTGAAGTGTGACTAATTTTTTACATCTTGATTTCTGATCTGTAAGAATTTTTAAAGATCTAGATCTACTCTATCTTATGAAATTTTCAATTTTCGAATTGGAATTATTCTCGTCGACAAAATATTACATACCATCTTGTTACGAAATATACGTAGCCTTTTCGTCTCGTCTATAATTTGTTTCGAGATGTTGCATTTCATTAGTAAGAAAATTTTTCTTTTGAAAAAAGACTCATTCTGCCTTCTCCTATATATTTTGTCACCTAAACCTGCACATCTTCCACGTCGACTTCTCTAAATAATCGAAATAAGTAACTCGTGATCTTTTCAATTCACGTTTATGAAGTATAAATAGGACACTTCATATCCTTAGTAAAAATCTTAGTCACATCTTAAAACTATCTTACTAAGATCGTGTAAGATCTAAAGATCTTGATGAGATATTCTAACATCTTATTTAAGATTTAAATAAAATTTGATGATCGAAACTTAACTAAATTTTACGATATTATTTTTCTTCCCGACTTGGCTCTCGTACTCGGTCCGAAAGTGTTCAACAACTTTTAAGAGAGTGTACACTGCAAGCCAATGTACATGAATAGTGTTTTCGTTGTTCAGGTCTATTCGACTGCAATTTTTAAGACTGCAGGACAACAGACTCAAACCAGAAGAACTCAGTTCTAAAAGAAATTTATCACTACTTAAATAAGATAATTAGTAAATCAATGAATGAATCTTATCAAAAAATATAATAAAATTTTATTAAGATCTTCGAAAAATATCTTATCAAATGTTAGAATTTTCGAAACTCAAAGGCTTTGACTAAATATGTTAGTGATTTTGTTTTAGAAACAACTTCCAAAACTTCCAGTGCCAGATTTAAATTCAACATTAGATAAGTATTTGCGTTGTCTTCAACCGATTTTACCATCGAAAAAGTTTGAAGTAAGTACGAGACTTCTCTACATGGAACATGTATTGTTGATTCATAGAAAAATTATATTTTTAGCACACAAGAAAACTCGTTGAAGAATTTCGAAGTCCAAATGGTATTGGTCATCAACTTCAAGAACTATTACTGAAGTATGCTTCTGAAACAGAAAATTGGGTAAGGTATGGTAATTGTCTACGTGTATATTGTCTAACAATTTACAAGAATAAAACAATTTTTTTCTTCCTAGTCCTATAATTGGTGGCTCTCTGATATGTACATGTTGAATCCACTTGCTCTTCCAATCAATTCTAATCCTGCTCTTGTATTACCGAGACAATATTTCAAAGATGAAAATGATCAACTAAGGTAATACAGATACAGATATGAGACTTTCAAATGTCTAATAATTTATATACATTTTAGATTTGTCTCAAGACTTATATGCGGAATATTAGATTATAAAGTATTAATTGATGCGTAAGTATTTGTATACTCTTTTATTACCTTAACTATGTACCATATTATCAATAACTGATCATTAAATAAGCTCATCCCACGAATATCTGCTAAAAATAGATTGGCAAACTGTGGTTTCATTTTAGTCGAGAACTACCTGTTGATCGTGCAACATCGCGCGAAAAAGGTCAACCACTTTGTATGGAACAATATTACCGTTTATTTTCAAGTTATCGTATACCAGGTGCTGATAATGATCGTCTATTGTTGACAAAAACAAAAGTAATACATGAACCGGAACATGTTATTGTTGCCTATCGAAATACATTTTGGGTATTGGATGTTGTCGTTAATTTTACAAGACTTGATGAAGATGATTTATATGTATTATTAAAACGTATTGTTCAAATGGGTGATGACGATCCTGTTTCAGATGATGTTGGTATTTTTTCATCACTTCCACGACGAATGTGGGGAAAAATCCGAATGGAATTAATGACTGGTACGTGGTTTTAAGATAGATTTAGTAGTATCATAAATGTTTACCATTTAGATGCCTTAAATCGTGATTCATTGGATCTCATTGAACGCTGTATATTCCTGGTGTGTTTGGATAAAGTAGAAAACAATTGGGATATTTACGATAATACATTGGAATCAAATGCAGATGAATGTACTCTGTTGACTAAATATTCTGAAATTGAACGTAATAATCTCTCGTTAGCTGAACAAATATTGCATGGAGGAAAGAATATGATAAATTGTTGCAATCGTTGGTATGATAAGACAATGCAGGTACATATAACAAATACATTTCATAATTGCGTTCAAGACGTCTATGTAGTGTGCTTTATCTTCAGTTCATTGTTGGTGAAGATGGAGCATGTGGAGTGAACTACGAACATTCACCGTCAGAAGCTATTGCTGTTATCCAATTAATAGAACATTTATTTCGATATATGTAAGTAGAAAAATATCTGGATGTAGTTATGATTAGTGTGTTGAAAAATTTCTTAGGACTGAAAAAAGCAAAGAGCGTTTTCGTCGATCAAAATCTTTATGTGAGTTGCCAACACCGCATCGTTTAAAATGGAATTTAAATAAACTACTTCGTAGACAAATAAAAACTGCTAAAGACACGCTAAGAAGGTATGAATAACTCGTTAATTAGTTTTACTTTAGACATATTGTCATTATTTTACAGCTCAATCGATGATTTTGATCTAAATATACTTGAGTTTAATGATTATGGTAAAGCATTTGTCAAATTACACAACATGAGCCCCGATGCATTTATTCAAATGAGTTTACAGTTCACTTACTTCAAGTAATAATTCAAATAAATTTCATTACTTTTTTGTATTGAAAAAAAGGCAATTTTTTTAGAATGTATGATAAACTCGTGTCAACCTATGAAAGTGCCTCAACCAGACGATTCTATTTTGGACGAGTGGATAACATTCGAGCTAATACACCAGAAGTGCTAGAATGGGCACAAGCAATGGTGGACGAAGAAAATATAATACCCGTAAGCTATGAACCGTTTTATATTTTTGTTTCTTATTCATTTGATTTTAGGCCGCTGAAAAACTACAACTATTTCGTCGAGCAATGCAAGCCCAAACAGACCTGATGATTCAGAATATTCTAGGACAAGGCATGGATAATCACATGCTGGCATTAAAACAAATTGCTCATAATCATCAAATTCCAATTCCTGAACTGTTTCTTGACGAAGGTTATAAAATGAGTAGTCATTTTGCACTATCAACAAGTCAGGTATGTTTTTTCTCTATATGTTGCTTCTGTCTATCATGGACGTACATTTCAGGTTACAACGAACTTAGCTGAATCATTTATGTGTTATGGTGCTGTGGTACCAGATGGTTATGGTTGTTCATATAATGTTCATGATGATCAGTTTTGCTTCTGTATATCATCATTTAAAAGCTGTTTAACAACCGACTCCACGCGTTTTGCTGATGTATTAACTGATACATTATATGAAATTCGTGATTTATGTACGTTAGTACAAAAACAACAGACACTAGCATTAAGACGGCCATCGTATGCGTCAAAAATGGAACTTCCAGTAATACCAACGTTAATAACAAGTGCAAGGAACGTCATAGCAGAAAATCCATCAAGGACAGATAAATGATGTAATTTCTTGTGCTATTTCGAGAAACAAAATATTTTTTTAATAAATTTTATCATGAAACGGTTTGGTGAAACAGCATGCTGGACAAAGAGGATCAAACACGTTTGAATGTTTAAAGATCAATCGCGCTGTGAACTAACTGTGAGAAAGGTAAATAATACATACCACAAAATATGATGATGATGATAGGTTCGAAATTATTGGAATCTTATTTGCCGAATAGAGAACTTATTCTAAGGGCAACACAGGAGCTTAGCAATAGTCTCATTGTTTTCTAGGAAAAGGTGAGTGGAATGTAATTTCAACCTAAATCTGAGTTTGAAATTTCCTCCTCCACAAGTTACTTTGAAGTAATTTTTCTCTTTAGCCGAACACTCTCCACGAATTCCCTGCTATGAAGCACTCACTCAACAACCAGTAAAGAATGACGACTCGGAGGAAGTAGTTGGGCTGAGTCTGACCGAATCTATGATTTACTTTCCGGTGCATAAATACTAAGAATTCTCAATGAAGCGTTCAAATAAAAAATATACTACACAGACATTTGAAACATCAAATAATACAGGTCAACAACATAGATTAAGACGTATAAGAATTAAAATTCCACCATGATCATTTTCACCTTTGGATAGACTCTTTGACAGTAATGGTTCATTAGTAGATATTTCTAGATTGTTCGATTGATTTAATCGAAAGAGAAAAGGATTCAATGTAGCAAAATATACCACACAAAGACAATCCTTCTACAGATAACAAATAGAGCCGAACAAATTTCATGAAATCTGAAAAAGTAAAATTAGTCGTTCTTATTATATATCATGCTTCGCGCGCTGTTGTTTTGCAGGTTTTTTGCAAAAGTAAAATTTGTTCGGCTCTGTTTGTTATCTGTAGAGGGATTGTCTTTGTTCAGTATATTTTGCTGCATATGCATGCAAAAACTTATCAACATGTTCTTGGTGAATTTTCAATATACGATCGATATTATAGTATTGAATGATAGAGAAATTGTTTCAGTCGTTTGTAAACGCTTTTTTAATGGCATTTAGTTCACGAGGAAACATCTCCAACTGTTACCTTGCTTTTTCAGCCAAACCCACTGGGTTATAGGTAATCGATCACGCTGATCCCGAATATGAACATGACAGCTTCCACTAGGCCTTCAAAGATCCGATTTTCTGGAAATCCAGTTTTTCAAAAACTCTAAAAAAGAACCAAAACCTTTCATAACGAGCATTATTGCAGCGCGCACATTTCTGATTAAAATGAGACGTCTCCCACCTCTACATGACTTTTCTTTGCAAAGCTATAGGATTCACAAGAGAAGCCCTAAATGGTCATTGTCAGCTCAAAGCTACAGAAATTAGAAAAAACTATTTAGGGCTTCTCTTGTGAATTCTATAACTTTGCAAAGAAAGGTCATGTAGAGCTGGGAGGCGTCTCATTTTAATCAGAAATGTGCGCGCTGCAATAATGCTCGTTATGAAAGGTTTTGGTTCTTTTTTAAAGTTTTTGAAAAACTGGATTTCCAGAAAATCGGATCTTTGAAGGCCTAGTGGAAGCTGTCATGTTCATAATCGGGATCAGCGTGATCGACTACCTATAACCCAGTGGGTTTGGCTGAAAAAGCAAGGTAACAGTTGGATATGCTTCCTCGTCTGCGATACTAGACCCACTACGATAAAGGAAAGTCTATCTAATGAGCAACGGTAAGATGCATTTAACCGTTGATTTTATTTCACTTTAATAAACCGTTGGATATTCGCTTAGTGAGAAAGTGTTTGCCTAACGTTTTTTGATTTTCAATCGAAGCTACTGCACTGTTTCCAATACTTGCGTAGGTTTTAAAAGATTTTGCTTAAAAATAAGACTGCATTTATGTGAAACAAATGCTTACAGTCAAATCGAAGAAACCGAAGATAATAGACTTGAAAGATTTTACCTGTTTTCTTGGCTATTAGAAAACAGTCTTCATCTGGAAAATTAATTGTGTTGCTGCCTGTGTACATCAGAAAATTGGCTGCTATTTCTGCCTACTAGTATATAAATAATTTCAAACTATAGAAAAACTTTTTACAGCGGCTATCAGAGACTAGCGGCATCTATGCTCATGAGACATTTTAAGTTACCAGAGTTGTCCTCGTTTAGAAGGAAGGAAAACAAAATTTTTTACCACTAAATATTGCTGTTTATAATTTAATTCAACTTTTCCCAGTAATTACAATAATTATTAATATAAAAAAATTGCACACTACGTTTCTTATTTCATCATCACCAAGAAATCCTTTTTTTTTCATATTCTTTGTTTTCAGACGATTTATGTGCAAAATTTCTTTTCTATAGGATTTAACAGAACGAAGAAAAATACGAAGAAGAACGCGTTGCGTGGTATGGCATGGCAACTCAATTGAAAACATAAAAAAGTAAATAGACAAAAATTCTTTTTTTTGCTCTATTATTGTAAAGTGAAATAAAATACAAATCAGTTCACATTTTTAGTCAAAATTTAAAATCCGTTCTAACATGTATTCCGGTGCACCCATTTACACAACAAAACATTATATTCATGAACCCCGTTTCCCAGCTGCCTATCAGCAGCCTAGAGGAATAGCATCCTCTACTCATTATACGCCATCGATGGTAAATCAAAATCATCAACCGTATTCAAACTCATATAGTCAACTGCAACCTCCAACAACGGTTACTTACATGAATGATCCAACACCGCGTCCGATGCCGAATTATAATCAATCGTATAATTCAGCAAACAGGTAATATAGTCATACCTTCGTCGATCAAGTTTACGTCTGTCTTTACTTTAGCTATCAACCATCAGATATTTTTCAACAACCAAACAATCAAATGCAACAACCAGTGCTCACTGCACGTAGTGGAAATAAATTTGGGAATGGTAACATCGAAAAAACGAATATGATGTCGTCCCAGAGTCCATTTTTTGATCCCGCTCGTTCATATGAACAGACAAATAATTACTCACGTACATCTTCATCTATAACAGCTCAACCAAAAAGTGGTGGGTCCGTAAATAAAACATTAAATTTATCGAGTGAAAATCCATTTCATGATGTTTATGGTGGATATCAATATTCAGCACGAATCGATCCAACAAAACGTATAACATCACAATCGACAGCTGTACGATCAACTGATAATAAAAGTTTAAACTTGTCCGACGAAAATCCGTTCTTTTCGATTTATGGTGGTTATCATTATCCGTCTCAAATTGATCCGAGTAAACGAATCACAGAACTCCCGAAACAAGCCGGTCAACTAGAAAAAACAAATGATTTATCATCAGAAAATCCTTTTAGCAATTATCGACCGGTCAATCGTAATTACAATAGCGCATCAATACCATCATCATCCTTTCAAAATGCGACGCCAGATTGGAACAGAAATAATTTGATTTCAAATCGTTCATACGATAGTAACAATAATATGCCAAGATATGGTAGTTATACTGAGACTAACCCGCCTGATTCCTATCGCAGTCCACCACCTGATAGTTTTACTCCAAAACGTACTGTGCCTGATACGACTATGTACAAAACGGAATCACCGTTACCAAACGAAAGACGTTTACCACAGCCAGTAAAGCCGAAGGATGCTCCGGCGGACAAAAATTCTTTGAATATGTCACCTGAAAATCCATTTGCAGCTACCTATGGCCAACATTATTATCCATCAAACGATGAAATTAAAGCGCAAAAACGTCAGGAGAGAAACGTACGATTTGCTGATGAATCAAATCAAAGGGCTTCATCCGTTGCTGCACCTCCTCAGCAACAGCAAAAATCAATGATGAGCGAATATCCTGAAGAAGAATCAAAAGACATTATTCAAGGAAAAGGAAAAACTAAATTTACACGTTTTGATGTCAATTTTTAATTCTATTTGCTTCTTTTTTTTGTTGTAAATAAGTTGATGACAAATATATCTTATATAAAATTTAACGAATACTTTGCCCTTAGTTGGAGTTTGAAATATTAAATCCATAAGGTAAGATTATTCAGAATAAAAGCTAACAATACTCTATGTATCCATAGTATGCCGCCACCTCTCCTGTATCCTGTCTGTGTTCCACTCATCATGTAATTCGTTTCATTGATTAAGAATACTTATCTTTTGATACTATGAGGAAATAGTTTCTTTGTAGCGGCTGTCAGAGTTTTACACAGATGTATATCTTCAATATGACAGTGTAGTAGTATATATCTATTTGATTTCTTAATGTTTCCTTTATGGGTTTTTGGTGCATGTGAAATATCATATCAATGAAATTTCTTTACAATCCCTCTTCAAGTTTTATGATTTTATTTTATCATCATCATATATTCAATTTATATTTTTTCCTACCATCAGCATAAAAGAGTTACTAATAATTCAATTCAGTATCAGCAGTTCACAATTGTGAGTTTTTTGTTGTCGTAAAAAATATTATAGGTGAAAATATGTTGGAAAAGCGCAAGCAAAATGGTATTGAATTGGCAGCTTGGCAAATAGCTGCTATTTTCATTTTGTCAATTGCATGTTTAATTGGAATTACTATTCCTGTATCACGCCAAAAACGTATTAATTGTGAATCTTCTTCTTATTTTACTTCAAATTCAGACTTACCACGACCAAGACATGTACGTCAAGGTCAATGTCCAGCAGATTTACCAGTTTGTTCGACTGCGCCAACTCCAACAGGTGGAACTGGATCTACAGTATCAATAGTAACAACTTCAACTGCTCAACCCACAACAACCACTGCCAGAAATACTTTACCACCAATAACTAAGCCCCCAACTGTACCACCATCAACAACCTCAAATCCATGGATTAATATGACTCGTCCTCATAACAGTATTCGATTACCAACAGTTGCACGACCTATTTCGTACGATATCCATATTAGTTGTCCGCAATGTTGGAATGCGACGATTAGCACAACTGATATTCAATTTTCCGGTCGGACGACAATTGAAGTCAGTATTATTACGCAAACATCGTCTCTTATTTTTCATGCAAAAGATTTGATAATAAAAAGTATTCTAATAAATGGTACAAATCCGCTGAACACGATTAATATACCGGAATTTGAAATGATTTATTTGAATCTTACCAATACACTTTTAGCTGGTCAACGAATAACACTTGATATAACATACGATGGTAGAGTCAACCGATATGATCAAAGTGGATTTTATCTAGAATTCTTTTATACCGGTATAAATAATGAGTAAGTTTTTCCTTTGATATGTTAAACAATATGATTTAATAGATATACAATATTGTTCTAGGAAATTTCTTGGTACAAATTTTGAGCCAACAGATGCTCGACGAGTTTTTCCCTGCTGGGATGAACCTGGTTACAAAGCCACCTATACACTAGCGATTGAACATGATGAAAATACTCTCGCATTATCAAACACACCCACTGTAAATTAAATATTCTTAATAATATGTTAGCATCTCTAATTCATTCTTTGATCTATTTTAAGAATACAATCATTACTAATAACGGCATATCAACCACAACGTTTATTACAACAGTTCCGCTAAGCACATTTCTATTGGCATGGGCTATAGTACCGAATGATTTTGGTGTGGCATCGATTATGTATGATAAAACAAATGTAAGTGCTTTTCTTTTTCCTTCAACTGTATTTTAAAAATATTTACTATATTCTAGATTTCTGTATGGGCTCGTAAAGAACTGATAGAAAACAATCGCATAAGTTTTACACTGACACTCATTCAAACTAGTCTTCAGTTTTTAACTGATTATTTCAATGAAACTGATGATGATTTTTTACCAACTAAAATTGATTTCTTAGCTGTACCAGATTTTGCTAATAATGATGCAACTTCGAACTGGGGTTTACTATCATTTCGTGAAGATATATTGAGTTTTGACGAGAAATTAAATTCAGCTGAAATGCAACAAAACGTCGCAAAAACAATTGTTGAACAATTAGTACAGTTTGTGCGTAAAGAAGACGATCTAATATTAGATCAGATAGTGTAATTTTTATATTGTTCTTTCAGTGGTTTGGTAACAGTGTAACCATAAATTGGTGGAACGATATTTGGCTGCATAAAGCAATGGCCGCCTTTATTTCCTATAAGGTATTAGATGCACAGTTTCCATCGTGGAATATTGTAAGTTGACTTTCAAAATAAAATTGAAAAAACGATTATCAATAACATTTTTCTTTCCTAGACCCAACAAATAGTAGTTCGTGACATAGTTCCCGCATTGTGGCACGACTCAAAACCGAGTTCTCATCCGCTTTCAAATAATAATATCACAACAAATGCTGAAATAATTAATTTATTTGATTCCATAACATATTTGAAAGGTGCATCAGTTTTACGCATGTTCGAAAATATTGTTGGAGCAGATCAATTTCAAGGTGCAACACAAATATATTTGCAACGAAATCGTTTCGATATTGGTAATCCATCGGATTTTTATACATCACTTAACTGGACGTTCGTTCAAACAACTGCCGAAGAATACATAAAATCATGGTTAGAAGAACCTAATTATCCATTATTAAGTGTTCATATGGATGCAACAAATCCATCAGGTACAACGATTACATTTAGACAAAGTCGATACATTGGTGCTATTGAGTTGGATGACAGTAATCTTAATAGAAACTTTAGATGGAAAATAAATATTTACTGTACAGTGGGAGGTATGTAAAAAAAATCTGACAAAAGGTAATACGTTTATTTCATACATGCAATTGTTTTTAGGTATTGATAATGGAACAATCGCTAGTCTAACAGAAAACGCGAACGAACCATTAGTACAGTTGCTATTACAAACTGAAAATGATACGGTATCTATACCAGGCAAACAATATGCATGGATAAAATGCAATAAAGATTTCAATGGATTTTATGTTACCGAATATTCTGTTACTAATCAGGAAGAGTCACAAATTTGGGATAACTATGAACAGCTCTTCGTCATAACAGAGGTGCGTTGATTTTTACTGTTAATATTGTCAGATGATGATTAACGAATTAACTGAGCCAAAAATCCATAGTATACATATTTTAAGAGAAAGTTCAACTTTAATTCCAGTGTATTATTCTACACCTATTTTAGACATTTTCAAATGAAGATAAAGCTAATTTGATCAATGATGCCTTTATATTGGGTCACATAGGAACTTTACTTTATCAAGAAGCCCTAAAAGTCGTCTTACCTCTTGGTCAAACAAAAGAACAATATCTTCCATGGAAAGCATTCATTTGGCACTGGCACAATTTAGCCGATGTCGAAGAACATTCAAAATACTTTCGAGGTTTTAAAGTGAGTATATATTATTATTTCCATTTCCAAAATACTCGTGGGTATTTTTTTGAACAACATCTGATAGAAAAGAAATGGAAACGTCTACTTTTAAACATGCCGGTTGGAATTTTTTTTCCCGTAAACAGATTTTCACCCTGCCCATGAGCTTCAAAATGATCGATTATCTTATCCAAACACGTTTCCAGGTTCCCGGTTTATGAGAGAAACTGTAGTCATTCGAAAAAAGCATGTACTGGATTTGTTGAACATCTGTTTTGTCTTTCTGAGTGAATTTAATAAGTTTTCCCGCGTACAGAAATCAAAATTTAATACTGATTAGAGAAGAGGCATATATGATAAAGTTTTTAGTGAAGAAAATATCGACGATTGAATATCCTAGAAAGGACGATCGCAAGGAGAAATTGCACTAGCCACATTTTCTTTAAGCAATTTTGATGAAGAAAAATGTGGCAAACTTATCAACTATGAGCTATGATAGGTGGCACTACTATCACCTTAAATTCGTGACCAAGCCCAACAAGGTGAGAGAAGTTGTAATGGGTAACTCGGAGATTTTCAAATACGCTGAGAATTTACAGGTGAATCGGACGTACTATTTCCAATTGAAAAGCAGTTCATCCCTCCAAAATTATTTCTGACATATTTTTACTCAATTTCACGGTCCGAAACTGTATTCCCATGTCGCACTTTTTTTTGTGATTACCGCCGGTTCGAAAAACTACCATCGCTAAAGCGTACCACTTGGTGAAACGTGTGGTTTAGCGACGGTAATTTTCTATACCACGGTATGACAAAATACTGAGCGGTAAACCGATTTTTACATTCACCATTTTGTTTTGCAGTAGCTATTACATATAAGCAACGCCAAAAATCGAAAAAAACTTGATTTATTTTTAGATAAAATTGTTTTTTATTAATTTTCAGACTCGTTGAAACTTAAATTTCGACTCGAGTCAAACTTTCTCCTATTTAAAGGAGTGAGTCATTCTGCGCTTGTAAGCGTTCGATAAAAATAAAAAAAATGAAAGTTCCAACCTAGTTTCGAACTCCTATTCTATGTGTTCAGAATGAAAATATCGGTGGTATTATCGATCTGTAACCGACTGGTATGGCTGGTCTACCGGTCGGTAACCGTGCGGTAATTTGCTGGTTAAGCGTGCCGTATATCTTTCGGTAACCGAGCCGAGAACCGACGGTATTTCATCGGTATTGAAGACATGGGTTGATTCAAATACACTAGCATTGTTTCTAACATTTTTCACTCAGAAACGCAGTGCTCTGTTGAAATGGATAATATTTTCAATGTAGAAGTTGATCTTAGCACTTATAACAGAGCGCCAGTATTGAATTATGCCGTGAATATAACATAGTTATTTCCTGCATCATCATTGAAAGTTTTACAGAAACATAATCCATATTTTTAGTGTAATTAAATAGTAGGTAGCCAGTTCGAATTTACGAAATATTTTTTTCATTATTTTTTTTACCAAAGCAATTCGCTGTTCGACGAATACTTTTGGGAGATTCATCCACAATAGATGATATGGTAGTACAAGGAAATGATCAGATTGAACGGTAAGTGATATAAAAATGAAATGTTCACTTCATGATTAGATTGAATTTTATTTTTACAGTCTATATAAATCATCACGTTTCGAATTATTATGTCGTATGCAAGATACAGATGCGTTATTAAAAGCGTCAGAACTTTATTATCTGATAGATCCATCTTACTTTTTCAATTCAAGTGCTGATACAAAGTATGTTAACATAACTTTTTATTATTTTTAAATATCTGTTCTTTCTTTTTCCTTTTAGTGTTAGTCCAGATTATTTGACTACAGTTTTACAATATCATATACAAAATACGTACAATGTTGAAGAATGGTATTATATGTACCAAAACTATACAGTAAACACTGTGGGAACAGCTCAAGAACGTCTTGCAATGTTAGCAGCACTTAGTCAATCGAAAGATATATGGAGATTGAAATTGTAAGTCCAGTTATTTTTTGGTAATATTCAATAGTTGTTCGATATGAAACAATCGTTTAGATTGTTGGAAGACGGTCTTGACTTCACTAATAGTCTCATTGAAACACAAGATTTTATATCCATAATGGAATTTATTGCAAAAAATCCTGTTGGACGTTATATTGTATGGAATTTTTATCGGCACAATTATGAAGAATTTATTAGCAGGTTCGTGTTAAATTTTCTATTCATATTTTGAATTTATATCAAATTTAAATAAAAGTTTAGATTTGGTTTTAATAATCGTCCCTTCAATGCACTAATATTAATCCTAACAAAATCATTTGAAAATGAATATTATCTTACGGAAGTATGATTGTATGTGCATGTTTTCTAATATGCTATCTATTTTGGTTTTTTGGTTTTCAGGTGCAAGAATTCATTGCTAAATTTCCACATCCTATCGGTTCTAACGTACAACAACTAGCTCGGGAACAAACAATAATGAATTTTGAATGGTTATTGGATGAAGCTGAAGGTCTTGATGAAGCAATATCTGGCGGTGATAAGCAAAAATTGAATAAAAAACTGATCTCCTAACAAAAATCAGAAGAAAAAATATATTATAGATTTAAACACTTTTTACTTTTTATATGTGAATTTTTTAACACAATAATGACCATAAAATGACCTAATCAAATATAAAAAAAGAGTACATGGACAGTACGATGGACACTGAGAAAAAACAATTATACCTTTTAAGCTCGTCTAGAAAAAAAAATCTCAATGGTTATTCATTCATTCCTAATTTGTGTTGAGAATAAATGAGTATTTCGTTTTAACAAATTCATTGAACTGATAAAAGATCATGTAGTCAACGTAATAATACTGTAAAACTACATGCATAAATATTAACAATAATATACAATGGGTGAGAATATACTTTAAGGCCCACCCCCCCCTCTAAATTTTTTTTTCCCCAGAACACTCAATCTTACTGAAATTTTTATTGAATATATATCTGACCATTGATAGTTCTCAGTATAAATTTGAGCTCATAATATTGAGTTTTTCGCGAGTTATTGTAACATCAAGCGTCGAAAAGTAGGTGTCCGTGTGTCAAAGATTTTGTTTCCAATTTTAATGATACGGACCTCGGGATAGTGTCAAAATGTAGAGAATACCTACCCCTACAACCTAACAAAGCCGGATTTTTGAAAAAAAAATAATTAATTTTTTTAGACAGTTTTTTCGAAAAACCTAGATTAGTTTTTTAGAAAACTGGAGTTTTTTGTAAACAAATAAGTTGAAAACAAAAATTCCGGCTTTGTTAGGTTGTAGTGCTGATATTTACCTTCATTTTAAAACCTTCCCGAGCTTTCTAACATTTAAAATGGCGGAGAAATCTTTGACACACAGTCAAATAAAACGAAAAAAAAACAGTTTCGAGAAAAAACGCAAAACAAT